GCGATCTATTTTGCAGTTGGAATGATTTTTTTTAATTTATTTAGCGTTTTTCCTGCAAAGATCACAACAAAATCTACGAGTACTCCAATTTTCAGGTTTTTTCACGCATTCTTCTGAGCGTGAAAACTCACTGAATTTGGAGTACTTTTTTACTTGGCCTAGGCATGGCTGAGTGGCAAAAATGGAAAATGTGCCGAATCGGCGCGGCGATTATTTCGCAGTGTAAATGATTTTTTGTAAATGTTCTATTATTATTTATGGAAAGAGCACGACCTCATTTATGGATTCTCAAAATTTCAGATTTTTGTGCATGTTCGTCCGAGCACAGAAAATCGCAAAAGTTGCCTCTTGCAAAACTCTTATTTCGTTGTGCCTGACCTCCCTGTTTTGAGAAGACGGGGCTCAATGCATGGGCCTGAGGGCCCTTTTGCAGTTCACATGCCCGCACTTCTTTTTGGGGTCCGCTTCTACCCGGGGACCGGTCCAACGCCCCCCACTTCTTGTTGGGGTCCACTTCCACTTGAGGACCGGTCCTTCCTTTTTCGAAAAGTCCCGGTTCTACCAGAGCTAGCTGTAGGTAGTCCGCAATTTTGCCAAGGACCGGTCCCCCAAATTTTTTTGCCTCCTAAGAACCCACTTTGAGTCCTTGTCGCCCGCCGCAAAAAATGCGACACCTTGACACAGACGCGGAAGCCCACTATACCGCAGTCTAAGGGCTGTGAACTGAGCTAGACCGTTGGATCGAGAAAGATATATGGCTGTCCCCGGATGAGGAGAAGGCAGAAAAAGTTTTTTTCCAAAAATCATGAATACGGGTCGGGGTCCCACAGTTCAACCTGGAACAAATTACCGGCAGCATCAGTCAGCTTAGCTTCACTAGGCACAACTCCGGTCCCATTCGCAGCCCTAAGGTTGCGGTATAGTGGGCTTCTGCGTCTGCGTCAAGATGTCGCATTTTCGGCGACGGGCAACCAGGACGCAAAGTGGGTTTGTAGGGGGCAAAAGTTTTGGGGGGACCGGTCCTTGGCAAAATTGGGGACTACCTACAGGCAGCTCTGGAATGACTGGGCCTTTTGGAAAAAGCAAGGACCGGTCCTCGGTTTGAAGCCGGCCCCTAAAAAGAAGGTCCTTCGCAAAATTGGGGACTACCTACAGGCAGCTCTGGAAACAAGGATTTTGGAAAAAGCAAGGACAGGAAAGGTAGCCGCGCTCTCGTTTCAGCCGTTTGAATGCCTGCTTTTAGCGAAAAGCGTCGAATGTCGGTGCGAAGACATTGGGGGGCGTGGAGGATTTTGGAATTCGTAATTCGTAATTCGTAACACACGGTGAACGTGCGAGATCTTGACACAACAAGAGAGAGAGAGAGAGAGAGAGAGAGAGAGAGAGAGAGAGAGAGAGAGAGAGAGAGAGAGAGAGAGAGAGAGAGAGAGAGAGAGTACGGACTTGAAACGAAGACATAGACACGCATGGTAACACACCGTGAACGTGCGCGATCGAACACAGCCAGAGAGAAGGAGTACGGACGTGAAACAAAGACATAGACGTGTGTGGTGAGGCACAGAGCGAGTTGACTTTGACTTCTGATAACACGGGAACTCTCTCTCTCTCTCTCTCTCTCTCTCTCTCTCTCTCTCTCTCTCTCTCTCTCTCTTTTGCCAGAGACATATGATGACACATCCAAGACACATAACAGAAGATTACAAAAAAATTATTGCCATCACTTGCAAATATTTATGTTCTTAGCGTGGTGTACGCGTGGTGCGTGGGATGCGTCCTAGTCGTCCGACGACGAGTCGCGCTTGGGACCTCAGCCCCCCAAAATGTCGGTTCGTGAACGGGTCCGATAGAGGCGTAATACCTCGCGTACCCCCTATGCTACAGCGTACGAGAAAACGTCATCGGCTGGTCCACCTCTACGATTGCACCTGATCAACTTTCGTATTGTGGACTGGTAGCTCGGCGGGGATACGCCCACTGAAGGGAGGTGACAGCTCTCGCAAGGTGGAGGTAAGTCGTGCCTCTCGTAGACCCTATCCTGTCGTAAGGGTTTGCGAGAGGTATGACTGACCCACTCGGCCGGAGAGGCTTGCGGAAGCTCCATGTATATTTGCGACGAGGATTAAGACCAACTCCTGCGTGACGCAGTCGGGAGGGTCCCACGCTGCCCTGTGCGGTGCCGGACTGATGCGCTTGACAACGGGGAACTTTCCTGAGCCACGCGCCTGTATCAGGCGCCTATTCTGTGCTAGATACGGGTGCGGGGCAGGGGGAAGAAACTCCTATTGAGCTTAATTCTAGTTCGACTCTGTGAAAGGACTGAGGGGAAGGGCGACTGTTCATTTTGAACGGCGGGTTGCCCCTATATAGGAAAAACGAGGGGGTAGCACGAAGAAAGGGGTTGCGTCTGGCCGCGGGCGACGACCCGATGCATTATCAATTTATCAGGGTCTGTAACTTGGTTTCCCTTAGGGGAACATCAAGATTTTTAGCCCTTGATCTTGTTTGAGATCAAGGGCCAGACCCTAATCCGAGTTTTGGGTGAGGGCAAAGCTGCTGCCCTCAGCCCTTGGCTGGCTATAAAAGAAGCCAGCAGCCAGAGAGCCAACATTTATTGGTGGTTGATGCTGCTGGCATTCCACTTGAGTGAGTGCTGGCTGCTGGAAGAGAGGCTGCTGGCTGGAATAGGGAGTGAAGAGAGGTGGAGAGTGGAAGTCAGCATGAAGGTTGAGGTTGGAGGCTATCATAGCCACCACCTCTGCGAGGAGGGAGAAGGCCGCTGGAGTGGTACCGCCGCGGCATAGTTGGAGGAGACACATGCTGCCATAACCACGGTTGTTGGCAACGGCAGGCGTAATTGGAACAGTAAGGGGGAGATGCTGGACGGCAGCGGGCAGTTTTGTTGACGTACTGCGGAAGCGCTGCTGAATTTTACGGCAACAACATCGGATTTTACAACGGTGGTGCGGAAGCACTGCCGAATTTTTGCGGCAACAGCGCTGAGGTTTTTGACAGTGGTGTGGAAGCGCTGCCGGGTTTTTCACGGACGTGGCAGCAGTATTTTGCATTGACTACATAAAGCGGTGACTAGGCATTGACGCAGGGGAAGTGCCGCTGAAGTGGTACTACGTTTTGAAGTGGTATGAGCGTGGCGCCGCTATGACTTGGTGACATTGGAGGCGAGTGACGGCGGCATTGAGACGCTATCAAGTTGTTGGGGGTGAACGGGAGTAACGTCGCAGGTGGTCGTCACAAGGGAATGGTGTGGATCACCTTGTTGACAACTTTGTTGTTACGGTCTTCTCATTTAAGGACTTTTTTTTTCAGGGCCACCTTTATTTATTTATTTTTATTTTTATTTTTTTATTTTTTTTTGCGGTGCGCAGTGCAAGCAAGGTTTGAGTTTGGGACTACCTCGTATGCGGCGATGGTGTGGGGGCATTTTCGGACCAAGTGAGTAGGGAGTGAGACTGAAATAAGTATTGTGGCAGGCGTGTGATGATTAAATTTGGTAATTGGTGGAGGATTGGATTGGAGATTGAGTTGGCGCTCTTCTTGGTGGGAGGGGTGCTGCTGAGACTGTAGTGGGACTACGTGAGACTTGA